GATTTTTTTCTTCATAGACTTATTTTTTTCTTTTTCTGCAACAATTATATCTGCTCTAGTAATGATTCTTGGTTTCACTGCTAAGATTAAGTTACACTAATTACAAATTCTTGGGTATATATATAGAGAGAGAGTGTTTCCCCTTTGCTCATAAACAAGATTGAGTGTAACAATAGACAGAGATATACACCAAAAAAGATAGTTTCTAAATGCTTTCTGGGATAAACTTTCAAAGGGTCACCAAAACCTCCCATACTTTATATGTATATATATTTTTTTTTTTTCCTGTATTCAACAGTTCTGACAAATTATTGCACCTGAATATGAAAACAGCAAAATCACAGGAGACCATGTGCAATTGAAAATAGGCGTAGTTTCAGATTTTGTGGGCAAATTAAGAAAGGCACTGCAAAATTTGTCCCTTGACATATAAAATAAATACAGACCCAAAACCCCATGTACTACATTAGTCTCCTTTTTTGTTATTCATACAGAGAATTCTTTGGTTTCTCTTTGTCAGAAAATGTAACATTTTGGCTCATGAATGTGAAAAGATTGCCATGTTATTCACAATAGATTGAATAAATACAGGGATTTTCCAGGGGTGAGGCAGGGAGCGTGTACAGATTAGTAATATTTTCCTCTATCAGTGGGCAAACATCACTGTGCAACTGGATCAGAGCAAGGATGACTCTTAACTATACAATTGACTGAGTTTATTCAGTATTTTTAAGTTTAAGAAAAAATCAGAATTATCATCTGTATTTGTATGATCTTCTTGATAATTAAGGTGAGGTTCACACCAGGCCATACATTCTAAGATGATCTTATGCTATTAGCAGCTTTCATCTGCTTGCCTACAGTTTGTTTTACTGTATGCACAGATGAATATTGCCTTAGGAAAAAAGTCTGCAGAAAATCCTCCACTTGCAGATTTGTAGAATAAACCATTTGGATCGTAGTGCAAGGATTTTCTCTCAGTGCACACGCTTAATTTTCTCGTGAATGGGATTTATGTGTGCACATCAAAAGAAGAAAATCCCTCAAGGCTCAGTTGAAACCAACAATAGCAAAGACATTCGGGAATCTCCCACCAGAGCATGCCCTGTTTTGCCTACTCGATATCACGCAGACTTTGAATGAAATCTGCGGCAGCCAGGCAAAACAGGACATGCATTGCTGTTATGCTTAATAATTTCTGAAGGCTTAAAATTAAGTCCTTAAGAATTTACTGTCTTCCTAATGGGAGCGCATCACCCATGGGAGATAGCGTTGGTGATAGCGGATGCGTGTGAGATGAGGGAATGCTCACCCTCATGGGCTTGCACACTGCAGCGTGAGTGTCCTCATACCGATCGATACCTTTTGACAGTTTTTTCCAAGCTATGAAGGGAAAACGCTGTGAAATGCAAAAGAGGTGCCATGGAGGTGGCATTAGCTCCGTGAGGAGACCCAGGCTGGGGTGGGGATGCCTGAGGTTTGGACCATTTCTATGCTGTTTTTCTGAGCAGTGGAGGCCACACCTGTAGGTCTGAACCGGAGGAGGAGGCGCTGTGGGTGCCCACCGTGGGGTCTTGCTTCTCAGGATGCTGATGCTGGAGCAGGGGGTTGTGGGTGGCTGCGGGGGACCCGTGCCCGCTGATTTAGTATAATAATAATAATAAACAATAATAATTAATAATACTAAATAAATAAGTAATCCCTACACACACATACACCCCCCACTTTCTCCCCCAACAAGCCTTCAAAGGGGAATAACAGCCAGAAACCCACGAGCATCAAGTCATGCGGGAGGGAGGCGCCGGCCCCACGTCGCGCCCCGCCCCGGCCCCG